TTTGGTCTCCTATTAAAAAAATGTTAATTTTAAAGGAAAATAATTGTGTAAATTTTAATACTGCACATATATTAAGTATTTTTAAAAGGAAAGGAGAGGTTGCACCATTTTGAAAACACTGTAATCGTGCTGGTTCCTTTCTGCTAAATGCGATTCAAATTATGTGGGAATAAATCAAATAAAAAATAACTATGAAGTACGCGAATCCTAGGTCCAAAACATCAAATTTCGGAAGAGGCAAATTATGAAAACGGAAAGGCTAAGAGCTTTTTGCAGCCCTGGTGTGTAGTTGCCAAATTTTCACCGTCAATACATACATACGAGTCGCTGTTATAGCGCTCTTTGGCGCTTTGTGACACCTAATCGCCACAAAGCTCGGTCTTCCCACAGGTTATCAGGGAGTTCACCGTCAATTAATCACATAAAAAGAAACCAAGGAGGAAAATCTGTCAACCCTGAGCCCGATTTAACTCGTGAAAAAGTCCGATTACGAGCGCGTTACAGCGGCGGCGAGCTTGGTAGATGAAAATCCAGCACCTCGATTGGATCCGAGCGCCGAAGGAGAAGCCTAATTTTCTCCCATTAACGACGGCGTTTATCCGGACGCCATCGAGGACCGGATAAAGGACCGAGCGCTCCCCCTCCATTCAGCCAGCCGGGGCTTCCTCGATGCCGAATTTTAAATTAATCAAAGGGAAAACTTCAACTTTCAAGAGGGTACCTTTCCCATACTGCCGTGCTAGGGAAAAACGCCGTATGAGCCTTCATGTGTTGCCAAATTTCCCCAGGCAAATCAGTGATTTTCAGGAGAATTTTTTTATGTTTTTCTGCCAATTTCTCAGATAATTTTGTATATAATTTGATCTAAAGTGTCTGAAAATTTCAAGAAAAAGTATCGATAACTTTCCAAAAAAATAAAGATTTTATCGAAGGAAATTTGGCAACTCTCGAATGTTCATACGGCGTTTTTCCCTAGCACGGCAGCATAGAGTACATAGAGTCGTAATGTAAGAGAAAGAGCTGGCGCCTCTTTTAAGCATTTTCTAGGTCCCGAATTCCGAGACTCCTGTGTGACGCCGCGCCGGGTCACTTTTTCGATACATGATCGATTGTTTTCGATACAGGGAGACCCGGCCATCCGATGTAGAATCCGATGACGAAGAAGTTAGGAATTGCTACGTATTTCACACTGCCATTTTGGATCGCACATGTATCGAAAAAGTGACCGAAGCTCGGCGCACACCGGGCTTAGAACTCGTCGACCAGAACATGGTGCCAGCTCTCTCATTTACATTACGACTCTATGTACTCTATGACCTTTCCACGTGTGGAATGTCGACGGTAAAACTCCCAAACCACGTATCCCGGTTTGCGACGTCGCAGAATTCCTGCCATACTTCATTTTCCAAATGGGAAGTCACACTTGACCTCAATTTTTCAAAACTTGCGTGATTTTTCTTCTCCGGGCAAAGAAAAATCTGTATGAATATTTCAAATAATGATTTTGATTTGTTCCCCTTAAAAAAATTAACAAAAGAGCGGACATTTTAAAACATCGCAAACGAGTTAGGTGGCTTGGTAGTTCCTTCGTCGGTATGGAATAATAAAGAGTAGGCTTATCTGTGATTTTGGAAGTTGGGTTTGATCAGGTCATGGGGCTCCTAGGGCCCAAAAGTGTATAGCCAACTTATGAACCTAAAACGGACCTGTCTCGTAATGTTTGATTAACCTGTTTATAGTTTTTGTAACTACCCGTAGTTTCAAAAGTTACCTATTAAAGATTTAGATAATACTATCGAATTGGGATGTTTTGTAGTACGTTATTAAGACTAGCACAACCACTGGCCTTTAGACAGACAGAGATTAAGATATCAACGACTAGCAGCGAAAAGGAAAATATACAGGAAAGAAGTGCATTCGGAAGTTAAGTGTTGATGGGAATCACTCTGAACGACTTAAAAGCTTTCCACCACGCTGTGCTTGCAACATGTAAGCATGAAAAAGCATGATAAGCAAGAAATAAGTAAAGACAGAGCCCGAACATTAGGACAGTAAGAAAAACGAACTTGTGGATAGTCAGGTCATCGCTCACGATTCACCGTCGGACGCACACTAATGAAATTAGTTCATTGAAGCCAATCAAGGCCCTTGATTTTGTCATTAAGAAACGGAAACAACTCAGTGCCATTAAAGCGTCTGCACACAAAAGGGGCACCAGCACCGTGCTCACCTAAGAGCAATGTTTAATGTACTGAAACCATTAACTCCACCATTGCATTGAACTCGCCTCGCCATTTGAAGCTTTGCAGTTTGGAGGAATAGGAATGCTTCGCGCTCATCGATGATTTCTATATGATCTATGCACGCCAGGAGCCCTAAATATATTGGACAGGAGCACTAAACATATTGACAAACTTAACAGTTTATTCGAAACAAGAGGTGAATCCTTTGAACGTATCAGTGGTCAAACTAGCTCATAGTTTCCTTAAATTTGAAACATTCGTGTACTTATTACCTATTACTACCTAGTACCTATTATTACCTATCCTCAAATATGTTGTTTTAGTTAATTTGTCATTCAGAATTAATGAGGGCTCAATTGGATTGCATTTTGCAAAAAGGAACTAGGAGTATTGCAATGTTGCTAAAATTGTGCAACTTACTTTGTCTTGGAAGTAAATTTTGATCATCTATAAGCAGTTTCCATGTTACACGCTGAAAACTGTAAATTTAGGACAAGATTTAGGACCACGTACATTTCACATGTTTGCATGATTTCGGTATTTTTATCCCAAAGGAGGAATTTGGACAATCGTTGCAACATTGCAATGCTCCTGGTTCCTTTTTGCAAAATGCAATCCAATTAATCAGATTACATTTTGTAATAAGGAACCGCTACCTCTGGCTTTTCCATAAAAGCACCTTTCTACAGAGGGAAACAAATGGCATATATATTGTTTCTATATAAGATGAGCCAGAAATAGTGATTCCCTCATGCAAAATGTGGTTCAATTATTGTCGTTATTTGAATGATTTCTTTCCCCAGAGGGTCTTAGACTAATGCTTCTCATTTAGATAGAAGACCGCTTGAACGGCTTTCAATAAAATGGCTGGGAAAAGTAAGTTCACTGAAAATTTTGATAGTTTAACCCCATAGATAAACACCACCCGTTTATCTCGAACATTGATTCTTGCGAAGGAGTAATTAAATGTTTTGCCATTGAAGCATGGGAAAAACAATTACCTGCGAATATAGTTACGAGAGCAAGGATTATTCAAAAAGTAATTCCTCCAATTGTATATATTGCAAATTAAAGAAGATGAAACAAATCTGTGAAAAGATACGTAGGAGATATGTTTCCCTTGATAAAACAAGCTGAAAATGTATAAACTCGGCCGATGGATTTACGAGAAACTCGATCTCACTGCGGGAGCACTTATTGCACTCGTTCCATGCCGTTACAATAGCCGAATCACACAGAAGTTCCACAATTTTCTTCGAGAAGCGGAGCACATTGAGAGCAAACAAGTGCATTTCTATTGATCCCCAATCCCCATATTCTAAGTCTCGATGTGGAATGTTGGATGCTTTTGATCATGGGTCAGCGAGGAAACTGGGTGCTTTGCAAAGATCTGCATCCGGAGCGTGCCTTGAGATCAGTAAGACTGATGTAAAAATCTAACATTTTGTCAAATTTTCCAAGCACTATTAAACTTTTGTTGCGGTCCTTCTTTACTTGTTAGTACTTTTGGAAGGCTGTTAACTTGCTGAAGGGGACTTTCCTCGTCATATATGAAAGTTCACATAGCTTTTCCGGTTTATCAAAAAAGCCACGCCAAAGCTCATAAGAATAAAAGTAAGCTCAACACTTTTGCTTTTAGCATTCTGCACATTCACGGAAAAAATTTGGAGACTTCTGTGAGGTTCGTTATTGCAGTACAAGTATCCAGAAGGTGAGCATACAAGGACGATGTTCGCCGAAGAACGGTCTCTATGAATTTAAGTTTTCTTGCAAATTCTTCTACTGATTTAAACAAAAAATAGGCTTGTTTCAAAGCCGCGATAATATCTAATAAAAAGGTATATCTTCACAGATTTGATTTACCGTAAATATCCTCAGGAGGGTACCTACAACGGTGCGATCTCAAACTTTAATATCGGGCTATCGCCAAACTTTTCGAGTTATTTTACCACCTTCCCTAAAATCATGATACTCCTTTACGCTTTAAACACACTGACGACAATCAGGCTTCCTCGATATGTGGCAACGCCGAATATCTTAAAATTTAATATAACATGCATACGAAAAGTATATATATAACGTGATGTACCCGTAAGCAGATCATCAGAATGGGGAGGACGGGGATGACGGAAATAATCAATAGTCAAAACGTTAATGAATGTATTATGTTTCTAAACCTCAACGGCAAGTATCCTAGAACAAAGCTATATTCGGACTTAGGGGTTAAAAAGAAAGTTTGTCTCCATTACCTACTTTAGAAAGAAACACCAAGCTAATCGATGACGAACTGTAGATCGTTAAAATAGAAACACATAAGTATTATTTTCAAAACATTGCACTGTATATGGGGGTAGGGTCTGAAATCACATTAACCCCCCCCCCCCCCCCCNGGAGTAAACGTTCTTTTCCAAGATTCTAAAGGATGAAATATTCACGGAAGCCTCTGGCTACTTTGGTTACATCTCTGACTCCTTCATTCAATGGACTCCAAACTATGATCCCCCTGTAAATGCAAGTCGCATAGAGACAGTGCTCTGAGTCCTTCCACTCCAGGGATCACATTCCCAGAAAATCCATTTTCCGTTTCACAAAGGAATTTCCATCTGTAGACCCTCATGAGAAATGTTTGACCTTAGACTCTTCCCCGCCTTTGCGAGAAACTTCCATCCATCCCAGTGTCGTGAGGGATAAGATCTGCACCATCTACTTACACATTCATAGGTTAAGGTGCTATAGGTTACAAGATCCTGAACTGACCTTTCATGCGTCCCAGCCGGTCGAAGAAAACTAGGAGCTTGCGCTGGAAGCACGGGAAAGACAGCTGGAGCACGCAGTCCGAGTAAATGCCGTTGAAGGCTAAACTAGGGTCGTCCAGCTCCAAGTCCTGCTTGTCCTGGATCCCGTTCGACACAGGGCCCGACGACGAGATGAGGAACTTCCCGTGCCGACTGCCATCCTCGGAACTTACACTAGCACTAGAACTACTACTTAAACTATCGCTACTTAAACTATTCGTAGAATTTACAATTGTGACGAGGGGGGCGGGTGCGGGGGTGGCGTCCCCAGGGACGGCGTGGGCGCGCGCCAGGGCCGCCGAAAGGAGTACGAGAAACACACGAGCCATCTTGCGAGCTGTCCGGTTACCGACACATGTCCGAAAAGGGTTTGCACGATTGGATTCTGGTCGGACGGTGGTGATTCGCGCCGTGCCGCGGTCGGGGAGCAAGTGAGCGCGTTGCCGTCCGTAGCGTAAGAGCCGTAACGCAAAGCAAAGCGAGCGGGCCGTGATGCCGGGCGAGTGTCTGTTTCGCGATTGATGCGCCCCGCGTCTGATCTTAGTGTTTTATTCGCTTATTTCGGTCAGTAGGTAGCAGCGCGCCGCGCGGCCCCCGCCCTGCCCGTCGCCGCCCGGTCCCTCGTGGAAATCGGGGAGCCGGAGAAATCCCTGCCGTCCTCAGGGTGCCTCTCTCGCGGGCGTCACTTATCATGAGCTTTCATCGTATGGGGCAGAGTTTACGAATGAGTAATGTACGTATTGCTGCTGCACAAGAGTAATGGCATTTCTTTCTTCTTATTTTTTTTATTTTTTTCTTCTTTACCTCTATACCTCTATTTTTTCCTTTTTCTCTTTTTTCCTTCTTTTCTTCTTTTTCTCTTTTTTCTTCTTTTTCTCTTCTTTCTTCTTTTTCTCTTTTTTCTTCTCTTTCTATTTTTTCTCTTTTTTCTGCTTTTTCTCTTTTTTCTTCTTTTTCTCTTTTTTCTTCTTTTTCTCTTTTTTCTCTTTTTTCTCTTTTTCCTCTTTTTTCTTCTTTTTTTTCTTTTTCTTCTTCTTCTTCTTTTTTCTCTTTTTTCCTTTTTTCTTTTTTTCTCTTTTTTCTTCTTTTTCTCTTTTTTCTTCTTTTTCTCCTCTTTTCTTCTTTTTCTCTTCTTTTTCTCTTCTTTCTTCTGTTTCTTTTCTGTTTCTCTTTTTTCTTCTTTTTCCCTTTTTTCTTCTTTTCCCTTTTTTCTTATTTTTCCCTTTTTTCTTCTTTTTCTCTTTTTTCTTCTTTTTCCCTTTTTTTTTCTTTTCCCTTTTTTCTTATTTTTCCCTTTTTTCTTCTTTTTCTCTTTTTTCTTCTTTTTCTCTTTTTTCTTCTTTCCCTTTTTTCGCTTTTTCCCTATTTTCTTTTTTTCTCTTCTTTCTTCTGTTCCCCTTATGTTTCTCTTTTTTTCTTCTTCTCTTTCTTATGTTCCTCTTTTTTTTTTCTTCGTNTACACATTCATAGGTTAAGGTGCTATAGGTTACAAGATCCTGAACTGACCTTTCATGCGTCCCAGCCGGTCGAAGAAAACTAGGAGCTTGCGCTGGAAGCACGGGAAAGACAGCTGGAGCACGCAGTCCGAGTAAATGCCGTTGAAGGCTAAACTAGGGTCGTCCAGCTCCAAGTCCTGCTTGTCCTGGATCCCGTTCGACACAGGGCCCGACGACGAGATGAGGAACTTCCCGTGCCGACTGCCATCCTCGGAACTTACACTAGCACTAGAACTACTACTTAAACTATCGCTACTTAAACTATTCGTAGAATTTACAATTGTGACGAGGGGGGCGGGTGCGGGGGTGGCGTCCCCAGGGACGGCGTGGGCGCGCGCCAGGGCCGCCGAAAGGAGTACGAGAAACACACGAGCCATCTTGCGAGCTGTCCGGTTACCGACACATGTCCGAAAAGGGTTTGCACGATTGGATTCTGGTCGGACGGTGGTGATTCGCGCCGTGCCGCGGTCGGGGAGCAAGTGAGCGCGTTGCCGTCCGTAGCGTAAGAGCCGTAACGCAAAGCGAAGCGAGCGGGCCGTGATGCCGGGCGAGTGTCTGTTTCGCGATTGATGCGCCCCGCGTCTGATCTTAGTGTTTTATTCGCTTATTTCGGTCAGTAGGTAGCAGCGCGCCGCGCGGCCCCCGCCCTGCCCGACGTCGCCCGGTCCCTCGTGGAAATCGGTGAGCCGGAGAAATCCCTGCCGTCCTCAGGGTGCCGCTCTCGCGGGCGTCACTTATCATGAGCTTTCATCGTATGGGGCAGAGTTTACGAATGAGTAATGTACGTATTGCTACTGCACAAGAGTAATGACATTTCTTTCCTCTTATTTTTTATTTTTTCTTCTTTTTCTCTTTTTTCTTCTTTTTCTCTTTTTCCTTCTTTTCTGTTTTTTCTTCTTTTCCTCTTTTTTCCTTCTTTTCTTCTTTTCTTCTTTTTCTCTTTTTTCTTCTTTTTCTCTTTTTTCCTCTTTTTCTATTTTTTCTTCTTTTTCTCTTTTTTCTTCTTTTTCTCTTTTTTCTTCTTTTTCTCTTTTTTTCTTTTCCCGTTTTTTCTTCTTTTTCTTCTTTTTTCTAATTTTCCCTTTTTTCTTTTTTTCTCCTCTTTCTTCTGTTTCTCTTCTTCTTCTCTTTTTTCTTCTTCTCTTTTTCTCATTTTTCTCTTTTTTCTTCTTCTCTTTCTTATTTTCCTCTTTTTTCCTTCGTTCTATCTTTTTTCCTCTATCTCGTTTTTCCCCTCATTTTCTCTTTTCTCTTCTTTTTTTCTGAGAAAGATATAATTAAAATATTTTACCTGCCACTCAAAAAAGAATTCAAAATACTGTTACACTACCTCATCGCAACCCTAGTGATGAGATTTCTGCCAAAGACGTCAAAATGCATTCCGGATTCTATAATTTTAATAAGTAAATGAGTCATTTAAATGATTCCCTCCTTTAATTAAAAATTAATCGTCTATGAAAAAGTAGCACTGTGAAGAGTGCATTGTACGTGGCCGGTAGCCTAATTTTGTCGTTTTCCGGACGAGGGAACAGAACTTTTCAACGTCGGAAAATGTCCATGCGCTAGTTCCATTTTTACTGGAAAACTCCCATCTGAATTAAAGAAAAAATGTCACTATATTTTCCTCTGATTGCACGGAAAATCAGGAAAACCTCGTATAGAAATTGCATGCTTTTTCCAAAAAAATTTGAATGGTCTGAGTGAATTTTGCAACCGTGAAATTAAAATACCTTCCTGTGATTGGGAAATAACAATGTATACAAGTATTTCTCGGCTTTCAGCGGGCTGCAAATACATTTAGCTGATGCGTTTTTAAAATATCAGAATAAGTTGGATATTTCTTAATTATGCCCAACCATTTTTGGAGACTTCAACACGGGCTAAAGTAAGCCCGGAGACGAAAAATCCCTGACACTCTGCTTCAACACTATCTATAGTGTACTGCTTGTGAAGTCTGTTCTCAAGGAATATACCATCCAATGAAAATTAACGATCAAAACGTTGAGAAATCTGTGTAACTAGCAAAACCTACATTGACAGATGAAGTTGGGAAACTTCTAAAAATCGCGAAAATGAGTGTCACTACACATAATGGAGGTTGAATTTTTGATCGTATTGCACTGATACAATGCTTTAGTAGCCCGTGCAAAGTATTTAGAATTGTATGCCCACACCTTATAGACCAACTTTTAATTGCCACGTTGTACAATGTAACTATAACCGACCGGTAGGAGATAAATGCTTGAAGAGTTACAACTTTGGTTTAATTCAGTTTCGGTATTAATTTCAATTGATGATGCTCTTTTACAAAGGGAAAATCAAAATAAAGCTGAATAAAACTGTCACAATAGTGATTCTTAATTATTACAAACAGAATACATTTAATAGTGGTCAAAAAAATTCTACCTCATTATTTCGTGATAGGGGGCTGAAACGTAGTGATCCGGTGATACATTTTGAGCCTTTTCACGGTTCATGATTTAGGTTTGTATTTCATTTAATGGGATGGATTTGATTTTAACGGATAATTTTTTTCAAACAACCTTTATGACAAATTCAACCAGTCAATGAGGTTTCTGGTCTGGAGAAGAAGCTTGTTTTAATAATTGTCGTTTTATGTCAGGTGCATGAAATCCTCACTGTCACTCATTTTGATGTAGACATAAAAAGTGTCAGGTTTTTCTCCATGGCTGTCATAACCAAAAAGACTCGACGAAAAGGGAGTTAAATGTCGTGTCATTAAATGGTTTACTTTTCTGTCGCTGCGTTTAAGTCTCCAAACTTTCCTGTGTGTTTCCCGACGCATACATGCGTCCCCCTCTGGACTGCACGAATAGATAGTTGTTACGTCATGAAATATAGTTTAATTTTCTATTGCTGCGTTTTAGTCTCCAAGTTTACCTGTGGGTGTATTCCGACTCTGTAGAGTGTTAGAAATAAAAATGTTTTTCATTATGACTTCCATGACTAATTCGACTGAACTAATGAAAAACACAACAATGTCATGAAATAGTGTAATTTTCAAAAATGCGTTTAAGCCTCCAAGCCTTTGTATTTCCCGATTCATTGATTGTTCAATTGATCCAGATTATGGATATCAAATTGAAATAATCTGCATAAGACGTAAAACTCAAGAAAAATTTCCACTTTTCTTAAGAAGTTTCCTCTTTGAACTTGTTCCGGTTTATGATAAGATGACCTATATCATGAATGAAGACATATAAAGAGGTACTGTATCCCCTTGCAGATACCCACTTCTTTGATCCACGACCACTGGGTCACTGGCACAACCTAAAAAAATCAGTCAGAAAATACAAAGAAAGGGGGAGGGGTATCACTAACGGAGTCCATCAGCAGATGTGTGAAAAGCACCGAAAACATTAGGCCATTAATCAACTCAACCATCATCAAAACAAACTTGATGAATTGTGGTCGTCGGTGAACTTGACCTCGGAAGTATGTGTCTTATTTGTCAAGTCAATCTGATTTTATCCTCCATATAGATATGACTGAGAGAGGATTTATAATTTATCAGTTCTTTCGTGCCACTTTTGATGTTCATAATCATGTGTTTGTGTCGTATGTGGGCCCGTGAATTTCATTCTTATTGTTTTATTATTATGTTCTCGGTTTTTTCATCAAGGGCATAAGACTTTTTCTGACAATAAATTAAAAGTAAAGTAGAGTCCGATTTGAGCCGTATTGATTGACCGTAAAATTGAGCCTCATTAACTCATAAGGATATTTTCTTACGCATTTATAAGTGAAATTAAAGTTAGAAGATTAAAGTAATACATTATGATCCCAAAGTTGAATTTAATACGAAACTTTGCACGGTGATTTGAGGATAAAATTCTACACCATAAGAAAAACCCCACATATGAAGTGCCTCTTTAGCTCGAATCACGGACAGTAGGTCTATGCAAAAAAGGTCTACTCAAAAAATGTCTTTCTTTTTTGGTCAAAATGTCAAAATGGTCAAAACTTCTACAAACAAGAAGTCTACTTTTAGAATGCCTAAGAAAGTAAATGTCTACATATAACGCGTCTATTAAAGGAAAATGAATACACGATGATTCTTCTCCATAGATACAACTAAAGAAGTAACTGATGTGAGTTCACTCTACCTATTCCATTCAGAAGTGAACTTTCTGAGTGTGAACTCTGTTTTAAAAGACATTATAATTTGTCGACATTTTCGTAGTGGACTTTTTAGCTCTGGACATTGTAAATGTATAG